ATCATTGGTCATTTACCCCTTCTCAAGTAGCTGAGATTACAAGCATGTGCCATCACACTGAGCAAGACAGTTTTATTTCCTAATCTCTATGCCTTTTATTTTCTTTTTTGCTTCTAGAATTTCTCAGAAGTCAAAGGAACAAATTTGATACAGCTTGCTGCATTTAAAAAAAAAAAACTCAAAAGTTCACATATGATTCTATTTTACAACAGCTTTAAAAAGATGAAACTATAAAGAGGGGCTGGAGGGTTAGCTCAGTGTACACCCCATGCTCTGCATGTGCTGGTCCTGGGTTTGATCGCCAGCACAAAAAGAAAGAAGCAGAAGGAGAAGAAGTGGGGGCGGGGGAATGAGGAGGAGGAAGAGGAGGAGGAGGAGGAGGAGGAGGAGGAGGAGGGAGGAGAAGAAATTCATAGTTACCAGGAGTTAAATTTAGTGGCAGGACCAGGGAGAAAAATCAGTGCAACTACAAAGAAGTATGGGGAGTCCCATGTCTTGATCATGGGCACAGGGGTGTGGGATTGGGGAGGGGTACATAATTTACACCTGTGACAAAATAGCGTAGAAATTCATACACACATTGTACCAATATCAGATTCTTGGGTTTTATTGTAGTTATATAAAATAGAACTATAAGAGGAAACTGGGTAAAGGGCACATAGGATCTCTCTCTTGCAACTTCCTGCAAATGTATTTCTGTCCCTCTCTCTCTCTCTTACCCTTTTCTCGTCTCTACCATGTAAACTGTAATAGTATTTAACTCCTAGAACCGTAAGGATTAAGGACAGTAAATGGAAAGCAATGAGGGACTAGCACAGAGTAAGAACTAAGCCAGGGTGACGGGTTACTGTTGTTCTTATTATGAGATGAAGGGTCTTGGCTGGAGGAGTCATCTTTTCCTAGACTTCAACTATGAACAGTTTGAGAAGTTTCCCATGAAGGCTGAGAGTGTAGCTCAGTGGTAGAGCGCTTTGTACAAGACCCCCCACTCAATCCCCAGCACAGGAGAGAGAGAATATTCAATGACTTTAGACAGACAATAGTCCCTTAGTGTTAGCCAGAGATTCTGGGGTGAGACTGAGCCCATGGAAGAAACAGAGACGAGGTTCCTGCTCTGTAGTAGACACTGGAGAAATGTTATCCATTAGCATTATTATTATGCCCCCCTTGGGGTTGAGTCCTCCAAAACACAAATGATCCTTTATCGAAAAGAAAATTGAAATAATGACCATTACCATTTACTGAGCATCTACTATGAGCCACCTGATCTGTGCCAAGTCATTGAATCCCTCCAACAACCTTATGAAGCACACTCCTTCATTTCATTTCCTTGCTTTATGAAATCAAGACTCAGAGAGAGGCAATGTTCTGGCAAAGGCTCCACAGCTCTTAGAAGCAGAGCAAGAACTCCTGTACACAAAGCCCATACTCTAATGCACAGTGCTTCCTGTCTGCATGTTAGGCCCCGGCTGCATTGGTTGGTGACAGATGAGGTCATGGTTCTGGGTTTCTTCAGTGTCAAAGCCAAACTTCTGAACCTGATATTCAAGGATCTTTCACTCATTCCACAAACAGTTGTCAGCACCTGGGATTTGCAGGCCTTAAACTTGGCATTAGGCACACAAGGGCCCTATGTCCCAGCGGATTTAATATATACAGCAGAGGCTGAGTTGAGCTTCGGCCTCTTTAGCAGGCCTGCTGGTCACTCCCAGGGAGGATCCAATGCAGAGGCCTGGTCTTCCCTGCTTTGAGAAAATCATTCTGGGAATGCCACTAAACCCTCACCCCAGGTGGGCCGGCTCTCTGCTGGCCATGTCCCATCCATCCTCGTCACCCCTCTGCCTACAAGGGAGGCAAAGGGAGATTCAAGGAAGCCTTACAAAAGCAAAGTCGCCTTCTATCACATCCTCTAGAGAAGGTCCTTCCCTTCTCCCTTGAGGACGAGGTTCCATCTGCATCCAAAGGTGTGGCGAGCAGAACTGAGCATTTGAGAGGGTGGCGCAGACCAGCCAGCCTGCTCTGTGATTTCCCTCTGAAGAGAGGCCACGCAGCCCCAAGCAGGGATTTGAGAGTGAAGACGTTGGTCAGGGGCTTTGCCACTGCTGAACGCATCCACCCTTTGACTCTGTGACTCTTTGGGTCTCTGCTCACTGATTACCCACAACTGCTGCATGCCACCCTCGATGCGCCTCCCTCTTGCCAGAAGTCAAAGAAGCTGCTTCATTAATCCCAGCATTGTCTCCAACTTACAAAGGAGCGTCAGCCACTTTCTCCCCGCCCTCCCCCGGCCTGTGTTCCCATCTGTGAAATGGGAAAATAAGGAAAGGTTGTCTGGGAGTCCCCCAGTTTTGAGGGCTATAAAGAAGGTAGGAGGTGTAACAGGGGAATTGAGGGGTGACACCTTATCTTCCAAAGGAAGAACCAGAGGGAATTTCTAAAATTCTACATGCCCAAATCCCAAATCCAGACATTCAGGCCCAGGGTTGACTGTCATCTAAAAACTTCCTGGGGCTCGATGGTGACATTGAGCTCTCTACTCTGTCACTCCCTAGGGTCACCTCTGTTTACCTGGTGTTAAGCTCAGAGGAGGCACCAAGGAATGATTCAATGAATGAATTTGGTAGAGGCTGAATGGCCACACGTGGGCAGGTTACTGCCAGGCCCCAGATATTGAGGAAACTTGTACCACCCCAGGCCACCTTCCACACTGTGAAGTGTGTGTTTCAAGAGCAAACCAGCTGGGAAATAATACGAAGCCCAGGAACTCCTCCACATCCTAACAGTCCTGGCCAGAGTCGTATCTACCTGACGCAGTGGCCCTCTGCCCAACAAGGATCCCAGCTCAATTCCTGGAACCCAACGCCAGCCATTTGTGCTCCCTCCAAACCTGCTCAAGCTTTCGCTTGTAAATTCGCTGTTCATCTATTCAATCTGTCAAGAAACACTCATAATGGAATCCTTGCTGAACCCTGGGCTGCACGCTAGGTGCAAATAAGATGTCCCAGCCAAGTTTCGGGGATTGGTGGGAAGACATGGTGATTCAAATAATTACACAATAATGGGACACATGCTGTAACTTCTTAAGAGTGGCCATTGGGAAGCCAATCAGAACTCAATTTGAACCCACCTACAGAGGTGAGATAAAAACCTGGGGTAAGAAACTGGGAGCAGTGGCACATGAATGTAATCCCAGTGACTCGGAAGGCTGAGGCAGGAGGATTGCAAGTTCAAATCTAGCCTCAGCAACTTAGCAAGGCGCTGAACAACTCAACAAGACCCTGTCTCTAATAAAACATTAAAATAAGGACTGGGGATGTGACTCAGTGGTTAAGTACCCTTGGGTTTAATCCCTGGTACCAAAAATATGTGTGTGTGTGTGTGTGTGTGTGTGTATATATATACATATATATATAGTAAGAAGACAAATGGAGGCTTATGTATCATATGTCTGAATGCTTCAAAGTTATGAATTGAGTTAATGAAAGAAAAATGAAAAGTACTCTGTCCCCTTTTATGAAATAGTCCTTTGTAATGACCTGAAATGTCAGACTTGGATTTAGATTCTTGGCTTTCTCAGAGTTTCGTGCACACACAAGGCATGAGGGCAGCCCCCACCCCCCTTCTACCACATGCCAGCCCTGCTCCCCACCATGAAGAGCCTCACACACGTGGACATGGGGCTCCAGCTGGACCCTCCACACTCTGCCCAGGGCCCCTGCAAACAGGAGTGCGTGTGGCATTCCCTTGCCTGGGCTGCACCTTGGGAACAGGCTCCTGCTGCCCCTGGAAGCAGGCACAAGAGTTCTGCAGGTGCTTGAAGCCCAGTCCAGAAGCAGGGAGGGCAATCGCAAGCTCTGGGCGGACATGTCCCTCTTGCCCCAAAAAGTCCTCATCCCACTGGGAGGACCTCATTTGGAAGAAGCCCAGGATAGGACCAGGATCAGAGGAGGGGTCTTTCTTTCCAGGGTTTCAGAGCAGAAATATTGAACTAAAGGCAAATGATCTTCCTACATCAGAGTGAATTTCTTCCATCTGTCTCTAGGTGGTGGCCCATGTTTCAGAGCACTCCAGGTCCCAATGTCGGCCAGCAGGGAACCACCGTGTGGATAAATGAGGCCCTGACCATAGAATCTGAGATAATAACATCTGGGAAGACACCCAGGTCTGCTAGGTTCTGAGTCAGGATTCTTAAGGATTCCCCCTGAGTGAGTCTCCCTGGGGCTAAATTATCCGTTCAAATGAGTCGGGCTCTGCCTCCCCCAGTCTAACGGCAGTTGAAGGGCAGGCAGCACGTGTTCCGTGAATGCCTAAATAAATCAAGGAACGATGGCAACAGCTAGTATTTTTCGAGGACTCACGATGCATGGGGCCTTGTACATGACCCCGTGTCATCCCTACCATGACCCTGAGACGGATCATCACTCTAACCTCCCTTTGGGGAAACTGAAATTGTGAGAGGGTTGGATACACCGTCTGCTAGTGCTGAGTGGCAGACCTCACCTGAACGAATGAGCAAGTCAATGCATGAAAGAAGATTTTTAAAAATTGAATAATGAACAGATTCATATGTAAATGAGTAAATTCAGGTACTTTATCATTTTTTAGTACTTGGGAACCTTCTGGCCCCTGGGGCTGCGAACTCTTGAGCATCCCCCAGGCCTCTGAGCTGCCATTCCTAGAAGCCCGAGGACTGGGGCTCACCTAGCCCCTGACTACCCCCTCCCCTCTCCCCTCCAAGATGGACCAACTCTTCCGGCCTGAGGGTTGTCCCACTTTATAGTCACCTGAGGTGCCTTTAAATCTCTTGCCCTCTCCCACACCTGATGCTACACCCCCTCCCGGGGCCGCCAGATAAGGAACCATCTTCAAAGCTACGATCATCACCATTTGCTCTGACTCAGCCCTGATGACTCTCTCTCCTAACTCCCGTCCCTTCCTGCCATTTCCCCTGCCTCCATCCGTTTGGGGGACCCCTCTTTTCGACTGACAGACACAAGCAGCCCATGTGTGAGTTTTAATGAAGCGTGCAAACTAAGAAGTCTGAAGCAAAAATCAACCCCGGCCGTGTTTTTTGTTTTTCTTCCTTTTGCGGACGGTCGTGGGGACGGTTGTGGGCACGGTAGGTGTGGTCCAGTCAAGGACGTAATCGATTGTTATTGGTTTCATTGTCACATAGCGACTAGGGACACAGCACCGTTTGCGATTTACGCAGCGTAAGACATGATCCTCGTCATCGTTGCACACCAACCGGCAGTGTCCGTGACTCCAACACTCCTCTTCTGGGCACGGGAACAACCAGGAAGCAGATGTTAGTATTGCTAAGAGAGAGACCCGAGGTGGAGGAGGAACCCAGGGAGGGGGAGAAGGCCAGAGAGAAGGCTGAGTAAGCCCTGCTGGATCCGCTCCCAGGAAGGGGGAGAGGAGACCTTGGGAGAGGAAGGAACTGAGGGATGATTCCCACTGGGAACGCCAGAGCTTTCAGGAGGACAGTTTCCAGACTTCCCACCCTGGGTCTCCCAGCCCCTAACTCCTGCTTCTTACTTAGGGATCAGTCAATACAAATCAAGGGAACAAAGCATGGGAACGTTGGGAACAAGACAATGTCCACCTCTGACACTCAGGGATGGAGATTCCCTCACATAAAGCAATCCCAGCCCCTCATCCACAGCGTGGCCCTGTAACAGAGCCCAGCAAAACTCAGCTCCAGCCACAACCCAATGTCCAATCCTTCTGAGCCCAGATTCACCCAGTTCAAGCTCAAATGCAGTTGACACCCAGCCTTACCCTGCTCAGTGCCCACTGAGCCCCAGCTGCAAACCACATCCAAATCTAATCAAGCCACCAACCGCAACTCCCAGCAGATGCCCATCACCAAGCCAAACCCAAGCACCCTGCACCCTGCGGCACTGACTCCCAGCCTCAGGTCAAGCCCAGCCAGATGCCCAGCACCAGCACCACTCAAGCCAAAATCCCGTTCCCTCTCCAACTCCCCCAGACCATGGGGAAGCCCCCTCTTCCAGGTCATCCTAATATTCCCTTTGCCACTGCAAGCCCACAGGTCTCCCTCACAAGGACTCACCCCCAGCCTTCATCCTAATCTCCCAGAGCCCCCGACCTGCACCTTCCTGCCTCAGCCCTTTTTCTAGCTCCCACCAGAAGGCCATCCTGCCTTGAAGCACCTGATGCACTAAACAGCTCCCATCCCCCCATTCAGCAAGAGAGCATGGGGGAGGGGAGATGGAAACACAAGAAGATTCTGGGAAACCCTCCCAAAGCGCCAGGAAATGAGGAGAGACTCGGGGGCTGCCCACAGTGAGAGGAGAGCAAAAGGGGACAAGCCCATGCCCAAGATCCCAGGCCCTCAAGAGAGCCCCAGTTACCTGACATCACGGGTTCCACAGCCAGAAAGATGGCCAGGAACAGGAGAAGCAGCTTCATGGCTGTCAGGCCCCCGGGAGAAGGTGGTGGCTGAGCTGCGGGGAACACAGACGGAGCTCTCTGCAGCAGAGATGAGATTCTTTTTATCATCAGGGCCGCGGGCAGTGAATCAGAACAGGAGGGAATCTGTCCGAGGTCAGCTGGGCCAAAGGACAGTGTGTAGCAGATGTCTCAGCACATCACAAATAAGAGCGTGGGACTCGGGCCAGCACCGTGCCAGGAGGGCTGAGGAGGCAGGTGAATTAAAGCCATCTGGCCTTTCGAGACCCACGGAGGAATCTTTCCACTGACTAACTGATATACGAATACACGTCAAGAAACATTTAATGTGAAAAATGACTTACCAGCTCTCTAACAGAAGGACACAGGTGTCCATTCTTCCTGGACCTTGAACTTGCCGATCTCATTTCCAGTTCAGGGGAATGGGATTTGTCACTCGTGGTCCATATAAGTTCTTCCTCTGATCTTCCCACGGATGGCTCCTGCTAGTCATTTGATCTCATCTCAAATGTCACCCCTTTGGAGAGGCTTTCATCGGTCACTCTAGAAGACAGTGCTCACACCCTTCGTTGTTCTGGTTCACAATAGCTTGTTTGTGACCTGCCTGGATTTGCCTGGGTGGTTTTATTTGCTTTACATGGTTAACCTTTGTTTCTCTCATTAGAATCCGAAACCTGGCTTGAGTGAGGGTTTGGATGTGATTTGAGTGTGTTCCCTGAAATCTTCACATGCTGGAAGCTTGGTGCCCAGTGCGGCTGGGCTGAGAAGTGTAGAATATCTAAGAGGTAGAGCCTGGTGCAAGGTAGTTAGGTCATGGGGTACCATCACCCTTAGAAGAGATCTCAAGGGACCCTCGTTAGTTCCCAGAGAGTGGATTGTTATAAAAAAGTGAGCTTGACCCCTAAATCTCTCTGGCCTCTCCCATTGCTGTGTGATCTCTTCCTCGTGTACTCTACCATTGGAATACCACCCACCATGAGACCAAGGGTGGAACATATGGAGCTGCCTGATCTTGGAATTTTCACCTCCAAAATTCAAGATAAATTAACCTCTTTTCTTTACAAAATACACAGCCTTGGGTGTTTTGTTATAATAAAATGGACTAATACAGCTTGTAATCCTAGTATCCACCACATCGCCTGGTGTCGTGAGGTATTAATCCAGCTGTCTTAACAGATGTTGCTCCCAAACAATGGTGCCAAAATACATCCAGTGATTTCTCTTTCATGTAAAAGTCTGTGTGTGCACTTAATTGCAGCAGCTTCACAATCCAGCAGGGAGCTAGGTTCCTTTCGACTTCATGGTCCATCTTCAACAGGCAGCTTCATGTGATGACCCAAGGGCTAGTCCAGTTCTACCATCAAGTCCCCATTCCAGCCATCAGGAAGGAGGGAGAGGAGGAAACAAAGTGTAACAGTGTTTTCTTTAGGGACACCATTCGGAGGTGGTACACATTGTTTCCACCCCAGTCCAATGGCCAGAGCTCATTCCCAGCACACCTACCTGCTGGACATGTTCTCTTTATTCTGGACAATGACAGCTAGCTAGAGTTCAGGGGCTGCCCAATCAGGATGGGAGGACCGACACCAGGGAAGAGAGAGCCTTCTCTGACATTCCTGACATGAAATATAAAATAAGATTTAATCACGTAACAAATATGAGTAGATAATAAATACTAAATGTCCATCATTGCAGTAAATAATTGTAGACAATAATAAATAACTTAGGCTGAGTAAAAAGTGACGTAATGGGGACACAACCCCAGTCCTGTCAGAGAACACGTGGGATGGGGGTGTGGCGCAGTGGTGGAGCGTTTGTCCAGCATGTTCAGGGCCCTGGGTTCCGTCCCCAGCACCACAAAAACAGAGAGAGAGAGGACAACGTGGACTGTGCCCCTCCAGCCAAGTGTCTGGAGAATCTGGACAAGGGGGCATATTTTGGGCAGAACTAAACTAGAGACTATGAAGGTGGATAAGGGAAGAAGAGAATCCATTAAATACTTGCTGTTTGCCAGACTTGAAGCACAGGTTTGGTTTAGCACAGACTTAGACTGTGCTCGACCTTGACTCTCGCTACCTGGAGACCTTGAGGAAGTTGAATGTTCTGATCCTCCTGTAATTAAAAACAAGTCATAACTGCACCTGATTTAATTAACTGGGGTCATTTCTGTCAATTGCTTAGCCAAGTCCCCAGCACAAGAGAGGTTCGGAATAATTATCAACTACTCTTATAATTGTTTTGGATTCTCGTTATGATTGTCATCATCGTTGACCATCAGTATTATCTTCAGACCAGAGCTGAGAAGTGGACGTGGTTCACCCCAACGCGCATGTGACAAAATCGAGACTCGATTTTGGGTGCGGGGACCTGCTCAAGGGATTTCCAGGAGAGATGAAGAGCAAGAAAAAAAGAAAGCAGATTTCCATGGAAAAGGATGGAAGAAACGGTCAGCCAACAGCTGTGGTTGTGAAGGTTTGAGCCAGGAGGGGAGACATAGGAGGAGGTGAGATTGCATAACCAGATCATCACATGGGGACTTAAAGCCATGCTCGGGGCTCAAAGGTCCATCTCATAAGTGATGGGGTGTTATAAGATTTTTTTAGAGAGGACCCTGATGGCATGTTCAGATTATTTATATATTTATAAAAATCTGACAACCCACATTGAAGATAATCCCTGGGGCAGAGGCCAGGGAGGGAAGATTAGTCAGGAAGGTATTTCAAGTCCCCAGGATGAAATGACAAGGCCTGAGAGGGGTTGGGAGGGGGGCAAACACAAAGGATGTGAGAGAAGAAAACCCATCACCGACCGCTGGAAACTCCCAGGGCCTCCCACCAGGCTGTGGAAGAAGCCCTGTCTCAGCTGCTGGGCACTGACCCTCTGCTGGGCCTGGTGACCGGTGTTTCGTCCCTGTCATTCTCCTTTCCTCCTCCTCCTAGGTTTTTCCTCTGCACTGGCAGGAAAACAAAAATCCAAAAGGGCAAATATTTGGCTCAGGTGATAATAAGGGGAACCCAGGATCCGAACCCAGGTCTTGAGGGCTCCCAAATGTAAAGCTTTGAATGATGACTTTTCAACTGGAACCCGCCAAGTGAGGAGGCCGGTTGGAAAGATTCTTGCTGAGAAGGATTTAAGAAGTTTCCGCAGCATTGAGGAGGGGGCTAGATCAGAGAAATAATCGTCAGTCGCCTTCATTTCTCTATAACATTTTTAGTGAAGTATTATTTGCATATGATAAAATCTCCTCATTAAATGTAAGTTCAATTATTTTGAGTAAATTTACAGAATGGTGTCACCATCGCGACAGTCTAACTTTAGAACATTTCCATCACCCCCACCCCGAATATCCCTTGTGCCCACTGACCATCCCTGGTCATTCCCACCCAGGGGGGGATGGAACTGATGTTTATAGTATCATCAACTTCGCTTCCTTTTGGGGGACTGTTCCTCACAAGGCGGTATGTGTGACAAAGGAAGAAGCTGTGGCCTTCAGAGATGGCGTGAGGAGCCAGAGCCACACCCACAGGCAGGACTCGAACTCAGAGCACTCTCCAAAGGAGCCTGGGAGCAGATCCGGAGGAAGTGGATTTGAAAAGACATGGGACTTGTAAGTAACCCCTAGGCTGAGGGAAAGACATCGCGGTATAAATCTAAATGTGCAGAGACACTGAAACCCCCAGTGAGGGGTTTGTGGATGGAGGTGTTGAAAGTCCAAGAGAAGAAGAAGCACGTGGAGTCGAGAACTCAGAGGAAAGGCTGAACTTCAACAGGGTGGATCTTCTCTTTGGAAAGGAAGGGTTTTTACAAATTGACTGCACAGCCTTGTCCTTGAATCCCCACGTTGTGTCAACAGAGCTGCCCGGGAATCCCGTGGGCACCTGTTACCTGTGTGGGCACCGGGCGTGTTGGGCTTGGTCCGTGGGTTTGGGTTGGTGCTTGTCCACCTTCTTCATCCACTTTTCTGTTTGGAGAAGGAAACCTGGGAAGGGGCAGTGCTGCCTTCCACCCTAAAACTGGAAAAGTTCAAATACGCGTCTTCCTGTGTCACCTGAAGCAGGCTGTGAGCACATGGCCCCGACCCAGCCACCCAGGGACCCCACCCTAACCAGGTACCCAGGATCCCAGAAAGGGGATCAATGGGGTATTTACCTTAGCAAAGGCGCCAGAGTGAGGCCAGTGTCCAGGGGCAAATGAGGACAGGGATCAGTACAGTGTCATCGTACCCTCCCTGGACAGAACATACGGGTGATTTTTCACTCTGCTTTGTTTCCCCCGCCTCCCTGTCTCCCACCGCTGTACTGAGCCTAGCTCTGGGATTTCTCTGAACTTCAAACAGCCAAAGGATTTCCTTGGCTAAAAATCCTAATTGAGCCAGGTGTGGTAGTGCACACCTTAATCCCAGTGGCTTAGGAGGCTGAGACGGGAGGATCGCAAGTTTGAGGCCAACCAGTTTGAGGGAGACCCTGCCTCACAATAAAAACATAAAAAGGACTGGGGGTATCCCTCAGTGGTAAATCCTCAGTACCCAAGGGGGAGGGAAATATGAATAGAGGCCGTGACCTTGAGCAAGTAGATTAGCCCATTTGAAGAGGATGATAACGTGTGTCTCATACTGTGACTTTCAAGTGATAAAGTGTCCACGGCAGTACTGGCAGGAAGTAGTCAATACATTGTAGTTATGATTTCTGTGTTTGGGGGTGAGGGAAGAGGCCAAGCCTTGAACTGTCTTAGGGAAAATGCAGCTGGTTCTTCTGCAGGGTAGGGGTTTAGGGCTGGAGAAGAGGGGGGAGGTCTAGTGGGGGTGAAAGAGGAGCACTGGACCTGGAGCTACCAAGGTGGGACCTGTGAGCAGGGCTGGAGGCCCAGGAGGGAGCCTGAGCACATGCACAGGCCACCAGCAAGGCGGGGGCCAAAAACAAAGTCAGAAAATCTAAAGCACCCCTTGAACTTCAGCTTAGAGGAATGGTCTATACCGCTTCCCAGGAGCAAACTTTTATTTCAGAGTTGGGTGTTCTTCCGTGGAGCTCAGCTTGGTAGGAGGTCACTGCAGGTAGTGGAGAGGATGGGTTTGGTGTACAGTGGAGCTGACCAGCTCGGGGAGTCCGAGGGAGACACCACCCCTCAGTGTGAATGGGACAGGTGTCTGATTGAGTCCAAGACTGAGCAACTTACCCTGTGTCCTTCCACATGTCATTCAACATCTGCAGGACTCCGTATGG